ACAGTGGATTGCAAGTTGTACTGTTAATCACAAGGTCAGAAGTGTGAGATTGGCCCAGAACCGGGCAGTATTTCGTTCTGTTGTGCATAGGGTCGCTATGAGTTGGTACCGACTTCATGGCACCTAACAACAACAACAATGGTGTTTACAATATACATAAGTAAATTAGAAAAATGAGTATTTGAATGTAGAAAAGAAAGCAGAAAAAGGACTTTTAAACCTCTCTTTGCTAAAAAGAACATAGTCTAATTTGGTCCACTCAGATCAACCAAATCCTCAAAACTTAAGAATGTGTTCTTTAAATGACTTCATTTAAAGAAAAGGCTACAGTACACTAAATTATTACATTTGGTTTAAGTGCAACAAAACTTTGGAAAATCTACTAACAAAAAAACCTTAAAAAAAAAAAGCACAAGTAAACAACAAACCTCTGTTACTTAAACTGCTAAAATATAAGTAGAGTTATGGGATGCAAGGAAAGAGTACTATATTTGGAGTTCACACTAAGTTTGAATCCTAGTGTTGTAATTTATTCTTTCAGTGTGTCTTTGCTTTTAAGTTCATCTGTAAAATGATGGTACTGTTGCTGTTAAGTGCTATCGAGTCAGTTCTGACTCAAAATGACCTTGAATAGGGTTTCTAAGGAGTGACTGCTGGGTTTGAACCTCCAACCATGTATTTAACAGTACTTATCCTACAGTGCCACACCAGGCCTCTGAACAATACATTTCAAATTGTGTTTTCCCAACGCTTACATCAACGAAAGCATCCAGGAAATGATAAGAGGTATCTCTTCCCATTCTCCACTCCATTATTCCAGCAATTCTCATACTGCTAAGCTACAAGATCGGTTTCTAGAGTTTTGCTTCTTAGAATTTTCCTGTTGTTTCTATACCATGCACATTGTCTTTAATATAGTCATATACTAATACCACAGGCAGAACATTTCTCATGTAAGGACTGAAAAGTTGAACTTTTCCTCAACCTTTATTTTCAATAAGTAGCACTAAAAAAATTTTGATACATTTTCAATAAGTATCTTCATCTTGGCCTTTATCTGGTGGCAGGAGACCATTATCTTGTGATAAATAGTTTTATTCCATTGACATTCCCATGTCTGTAAAATGAACAAGATTTATTCATCCAATTAACATTTGAATGTCATGTTTAGCTACAAGTTAAAAACAAGCTGTCTTCAGTATCTGTGTTATATTGTTTTATGAACACATTTACAGAGTAGAATCAAACTTTGCCCTTAAGATACACATCTTTAAAATATGCACATGTACATGTGAATACGTGTGTGTGTGTGTGTGTGTTTAAGGGTATACTGATGTTGAACAAAGAAAATAGGACTGTGAGTACTCAGCCTGAGATACAAAACTAAAGAATCAAGTTATAAAAGGGTGACACCCTTTCAAAATAATTTTTACATGTCAA